TGTCTTTAGTAAGGAATTCTCCTGGTTCTCCTAGTCGCCTGTTGCTCATGCAATTTGGATCCCTCATTTTCGTTCTAGCATGAACAGCACTGATCGAAGAGTCCCATTATCCAACAAGGTCCGGAAAGGGGAGCGGGCAGCATAACTTTCATCCATCTCCACAATCATTTATTTTTAGGAAAGTGGTCAATTTATGTGTGCGGATGCTTGTTCATTAGATTGATTAATTAGCCTAAACAATATGAAACAAATCTTAATGATGTCTTGGTTTGTTTTATATGTTAAATAGGATTAGTATCTATTGTAGCTTACAAAAAGTTCAAAAATTTTGGCAGTGAAAGGATTGACAGGGAAAGTGAAAGCATGGATATTGGGTGTCCTCAAGAGTGACAGTCCACACTTGGATTTTTTCGTTGGTACTGATGCTGCGATACTAATGACTAGATTTGCTATTTCACGTATGATCCCATCTGATGGTGCGCATGCGCTCAGTGAAGATGAGGAGACCAAAAGAATGCTCATTTTATCTGGTTACGCTTGGATCACATTTTTGGTCTCCTCACTGGGTTTAAGGAGCATTAGACTCTGGTACTTTGGGGTTCCATTCTGGAATTTTTCCCGTTACTGGTACCGTGAGTTTCCATTCTGGAATTCTTCCACTTATCATGAGGTATGTAATTTTTATTCTCTCTTTTTAAACTAAGATAAGACTTGATTTCAACAATAATTGAAAGGAGCCTAACTTCTAGTCAATTTATAATTTGATCCTGGTCTTTGTTTATTAGGAAGGAACACTCCCGGAAGAATTGGTTGCTCTCAAACATGGGACTCTGAAGTTATTGAAGAATAGGGATAAAAAAGTCCTAGAAGAATTGGTTTCTCTCAAACATGGTGACTTTGTCGTTATTGAAGTATATGGAAGTGATAATTGTTCATCTTAAGAGGCATATATGTATCGCTTATTTTGCTTGGTAGGGTTTAAGAAAAACTATATCAAACATGGTGACTTTGATGTTATTGAAGTATATGGATAAAAACGAAGTGATAATTTTGCATCTTAAGAGGCATATATGTATAATTTGTTTTGCTTAGTAGGGTTTAAGAAAAACTATATCTTAATTGAACCGGTGATATCTTATTCTTTTTAGTTTAATTATATGAAGTTGACATGAATGCAACTTTTACATAACTACATGCAACCTTTTTGGTGCATCTTTCACTCTCTTAATTCTTGAGGTATAGACAACATCAAGGATGGAGCTACAGTTGTTAGGCATAAGCTTGATGCTTATTGCCACCAAATACAAGGAAATTTGGGTCAGTGAGACCATGAATTGGTTTGCATCTCTGCAGCACAGACACTTCGATTAGGGTAGTGATAAGTGTAAGTTTATCTAGGACATTAGATTCGAGTATTTGTTTGTAATTTGAATGAGTTATAGCCTAATTTTGTGTTAATTATGTTAGTTATGGTGAAACCAATGCAAATTTGTGGATTTGGAAGAAAGGAATGAAAAACATGCAAAAGTAGGAGTGAACGTGGTCCGGTTTGGTCCGGTTCCGAAGGGAATTGAATCGAATATCAATGAGAATTTTAGAAATGGAACCATTGGTTCCGTAGCTAACTATGGAACCAAATCGGAACCGAACCTATTGGTTTCGATTCGGTTCTTTAAATTGAAAATGTCAAAATAAAATGTTCATTAATAAAAAATTTAAAAATACTACCAACGTGATACTTTTAACAAAATATAAAAGAATCGAAAGCACTATTCAAAAATTAAAAGAAAACTAAGTTCACAAATTTAAAAACAATAGCCAAATAATATAAGTTGCTATCATCAAGAAATTATCAACTTATATAAACCGAATAGTACTCCAATGATTAAACAAGCTTCCATCAAAAACAAATTTCTACATTGAATTGAACATTCTTTAAAAATTTATTGCAACTTCTGACTCTGTCAGTTATAATTTGTAGAAGTCTAGATGAAAAGTTTCAATCGGATCAATAATTATGTAATTAAAGTGAAAACAAAATAAAAATTTCGAATCTTAGAAATGAAATTATATATTGTAAATAAATTTATTTAGGTATAGATTTATCCAATATTCTAATTTGGGTTGAGAATTAATTAATCAAAGAATCATAAGGAGAGAAAAGGAAAGAATCAAAGAGAATAATGAAAGTGCTGGAATCTAAAATGAAGAAGGAACCCAATTTATTTTTTGATAAAAATGTTGGAGATTGAGTCATATAAATACCAAAAAAATCCTATTAGAATCGCCTGTTTTCCGGCGGTTCCCATACTAGAATCGGGAACCAGAAACCGGAATCGATCGGCTTTAATAATTTGTCTCGAAATCAAATTATTTTTTAAAAGATCCGGTTCCAAACGGTTCCGGTCCGATTCCACCAGTTCCGGGAAAAAATACTCACTCCTAACGAAAACGAAATAATTTCAAAGTTTGGGGACCAAAATGTAAACATCCAATAGTTTATTCGAACCACAAAATGATTATTGAAGATCATATGACATAAATTGGATGCAATTAGAGGTCAAAGGAATGAAATAAAGTTGAAGCATTTCCACAAATCAATTTCCAACCGAAAAAGTTATGCTTCAAATTTTTAGCCTCAATTTGAGACTTATTTTTTATAGCAAATATTCGAATTGAAAAATATGTATTTTTGGAAAAATTGTAGTTTTTTGAGTTATCTTTTTAACGCATTTTAAATCACCTTAATCGGAGTTTGAAAAAGAAAGCTATGACCAAATTACTGAAAACTGTCCAAGGACAACATTGCGAAAATGGCGTGCATGCACAGACATTTTTACCTGCGCGCACAAGACCTTGATATGCATTTACCGAGAGCAAAACCATTGATCGGTGCACATGCAATGAACTGTATAGCGCGCGATCACGGGTCAAATTTTCTGTAATGGGCTAGTTTCCTTATTCTGATGAAATTGTATATGGAAATGATGTATTTACATCCTATATATACCTAAACATGCGCAGAACGTAGGAGAACCCCTCTTTTGACCTAAAAATAATATATTTTACGTATTTTGGAGGTAAAGAACGAGGTTAAGCGTCAATATTAAGGCGGATTATGCAAGTTTATTAAAAAATATTCATCCTTTTTCAAAGATTCAAGCCATGAAATTGGTTTTCGTCACTTTCTTCATTACTTCTTCTTTTTGGATGATGTTTTTCAAGTATTTCTTGTATAATTTAATAATTAGAATGCTAGACTAGTTTTTCTATTGTATTGGATGAATGATGAATCATATTATATATTTGTTTTGATTTAAAACTATTAATTTGGTTATTTTTGAGTGAGTTTGTATACCTATTGCATTATTTAATTGATTAGCCACCAATTAAATAATTAGTTGCTTGATGTGATGTTGAGAGACTCACAATAAATTTAGAACGTGGTACAATTAACATATGTAGATAGAATTAAGAATAATCTTTATCACATATGCAATCATATAGATACCATATAATTTAATGTATTTTGGTCATATGAATTCGGATTACGAATATGATCAGGTCATGATTAAAATAGACTTAATTTGTCTTGAAAAAGATAATTAAATATACTAGTGTTATTGATTGTCATGAAAGCATGAAATTGACTATATTACGAATCAAGAATTAAAATAAATGGCAATAGGGGAATTCAAAATCCAATACAATCATCCACATATTTGATAAAACATATTTTTTATTACTTCTTTAATTTAGAATTAGTTTGAATAACAACAAAATCACCTCTTTTGTGTCACGAACATCGAATTTAGTGGTAACTAATGAACTAGAATTAGACTTTATTCCTCGTGGGACGATAACTCACAATTCACTTTATTTTTATTTGTCAATGATTTCGTATGCTTGCGAATTTCATACGGATAGGTAGCGTGTCCGTATCCGAAATATGTCGGACGTGTCAATATTGACACTTCTCAGATACTCTACCATAAACATTTTTCATTCTTTATTAAAAATATATAACTTAAAGTTATTAGTAAATAACAAATAGATACTCATATTTAAAAGATTTCAGTAAAAAAATTAATAGTAAATATAAAACTAAATTTATACTATACAAATGAATATTTTTAAAGAGTTTAATCAACATGTCGACGACGTGTCGTGTCGATACTTTTTTTAAAAATCATCAGTCGACGTATCTGATACATATTGTGTCGGACACACTTCCATTTTGGTGCTTCATAGTTGTGCATATCAGACAACCTTCACAAATGAACTAGTCTTGCATATGGAGAAATGCTTGCTTATTGAATTGGACTGGAAATTAACAGTTCTCATATGTTATATATTGTACAAGTCTGGATATGATTCACTCTCCTCCCAATCTACATGCAGATGCAATTTTTTGCCGTTAAATTGATTTGAGTTATATCACTTAACGGATTTAATTTGTGTCAGTTCTTTGGATGCAGAAATAGTAAAGATATTTCAATTGTTCTCTATTGTATGTCCTGGATCTTTCTATTCTTATTAATCTTGCGCAACGGTAATTTTGAAAGGATAAAAAGTGTTGTACTTGTATGTAATAATGGATTCTTTAACTCTTCCTCTCTGAACCACACAAGAGTCACATATATGATAAAAATCGTTATCTCCTGTCCATCTCCAGTTTGAGTACCTATGTCCATCTCTCAGCACCACAAAAGCTAAAGTCGGTCGAATGAGTTCATTAGAGGTGGGCGCGGGTCAGTTCGATTCGGTTCTCTTTGGATCGGTTCTTTAGAATCGAACCGAACCAAAATTTTCGGGTATCTAGTAAATGGAACCGTCGGGTCCAAATATAATTATGGAACCGTTCGGGTTCGATTCGGTTCGGTTCGGTTCTGTACTATAATTAAATTTTTTAACATTTATAATAACATTATATAAATACAACTAATGATACATTCAATGGTTCTGGAATGTCAGAGACTAGTAAACTACTTTATTCAAATAATCGCTACGTTCAAAGTTTTGGTTGGCGGAGGTCATAGTTTCGATTGGAGGTCACAGCGTCGGCCGACAATTGTAGAGATTTTGGAATGTTAGCGAGGCTGCGAGAGTGAGTGCAAGAGTCGAGACAACGTTATACACTTTAGTGTAGGTGTTTATGGTTATTTAGTGGATTTGATTTTGTTGGATTAAGAAATGAAACAATAAAATGAGTAATTGGGTCAAAAATTAAAAAATTGGAAATGAAAAATATTATTGGGCCAAAAATTTGGATTTAGAAATTGTTAATTTGTTTAGAAAAAATTAAAATTAAAATAATTTGATTTACTCAATATAAAAAAAAAATTAAAAAGATTCAATTCTTATTCAGTTCTTGGTCTAAAATCGAGAACTGAACTGTACCCATTGGTTCTCAATTCAAATATTCGTTCGGGTATTTAATTTGACAAGAACGATCGGGTGCGGTTCAGTTCGATTCGAGTTCGATTTGATCGATTCGATTCGAAAGATTTACCCAACCCTAGAGTTCATATTGTATAATACATGTATCAATTAAATGATAAAAAAAAGTACTGAGTTCCCATACACCAAGAATATTAGAATTTTTTTTTCCAACTTTTAGACTAGTAGTGTTCGCAAAAGAACACATGCTTTTACATTTGTCCACGATCCCAAAGGCCAAAACATGCACGCACCTGTTGCGCATTTGATACAAAAACAAAATGCTTCATTTCAATTGTTTTGCTAACTTGACATAAAGCAACAGATTGAGCAACCCAGTGAAATTAAATAATATTACTCCTGTGTCGAGCTTTAAAATTTTCATCAGACTACAATTATATTATACAATAAAAAATTCGAAATTTTCGAATTTGTACTGAAATCACAATTATTCAAAAAAATAACTCTTAGCTAGCCAAGGGTATCCCATTGTATCAAAAGTACATGGGGATCAATGATCATGAACTGTGAAGACGTCTCATCATTTCCATCTCTAATTAATTTGATACACAAAACATTGATGCCTCAAATAATTGATAATTAGTTAAAAGATCGATTTGATCAAATTTTAATTATTCATTAAGCTAAATATTATATCAATCAGGCACACAAACTGACACACACACATATACCGGGACGTAGGGACCCAACCGTGCCCCTAAGCCCCATTTACA